GGTCTTCCGGCCAGGCATGATGCTATCGATTCTTTTGGTTCCGGTTCAGAGTTCTCGGGAACTGAATAGCAATCGAAGGGCGAAGATGCTGAAGGCCATAATGACGAAGGCCAAGACATCGAACCGGCTGCGGATCTAACCTCTTCTCCTGGGGGCGCAATACTTCTCTTCCTCTGGGTTCCGAAGACGCAATAACTTAGTCCGTGATTTCCTTTTCAAACTTTTGTACTTGTGTTGTTTGGCATATTTATTATAAAAAACACTTTTTTGTTCAAGTATCGTATAAGTTTCCCTTTCTGGGTACTTTTGTTTAAACATTTGTGCAAGTTTGCTCTTTGCATCTTTTTTCATTTAAGTGTTTGCATAAGTTTTACTGTTTGCATCTAATCATGCAAGGCTTCGGGTGTATTTTTTTCGATATTATTTGAATTTCGGGCATAAGTTTTCCGAAATCAACCCTTTAATGTGAGGGTTTTCATAAGAGAGGGCCCTCTTATGTTTAAGGTGCTCTTGAAGAGGGCGTCTCTTGTTCATTATGGCACTAGCATTTGAAGTACTTGTTTAAATTTCAAATGATAAAATCAATTCATCGTTCATACAAAAAACAAAATAGAAATAAAAGAACTTTACTTCATTCCTTCCACTTTCAAAACTATATAAGCATTCGTTCTGCTAAAAGAAATTGCCATTTCTTGTGGCTAACTTGTACAACTTGCTTCTACGGGGTTGGTCGTGCAGTCCCCGATCCCGATAATACAGTTATGTTTCTGGGTTTCGTATTCCAATCGAAGTGGCAGTCGTTGTTGACATATCCTTATATCATCCCCCCCCCTCCCAGTGTTCGAATGCGAAGAATGTGTATTAGAACACTAGGAGTTTTACACCTTCGAGAATTCCACTAATGGATTGCTAGATAATCTTCATTTCGGTAACAAATTTCACTTCCCCTTAGGAATTTATGCTATCGAGCCAAAGATTATCTAATAATCCCCCAGTGGCTTGCACTTATGAATGATCGGATAATCTCTGTTCGACAGCAAACTCAACTTCTCGGTAGGAACTTTACTATAGAGTGAAAGACTATTTAACCGGTCCGTAGTGGTTATTCGCTTGTGTGCCTTGTCATTAAAAGGTCTTATTGTTGCTATTGAAACTTCCTTCGTAGTATGCTTTCTGTTGCTGCCTCATTAAAAACCTTGCCAGAAAAATCCAATTGGGACAAAAATCGGACTAATGAAAAAAGAGTGCAGCACAAACTTTCAGTACAGGCGATGTTCATTAGCAATAGTATCTCTTGAGGTGTGCCACATTTTAGTTTCTTGGCAACTTTTCTCCATCTTGACTCTCTAACTCGTACGATCCTTTCCTGGCGACAGCTGAAACACGGTAGGGACCTTCCCATGTTGGACTTAGCTTTCCCGTATTGAGTTCCCGGGTGTTCTGAATTACTTTCCTTAAAACCAAGTCTCCTACTTTAAAATAACGTAGGATGGTTCTTCAATATAATATCTCTCTATTCGCTACTTTTGAGCTGCTATCCTAATATGCGCCAAGTCCTTGCGTTCATCGAGCAACTCTAAATTGACTAACAATACTTCGCTATTTGCCTTTTCATTTGACCGAAAATATCTCATGGTAGGTTCACCTACTTCCACCGGATCAGGTCTTCTCCTCCGTACACAAGATAAAAAGGAGTTTCCCCCATGCTTGACTTGGCTGTTGTTCGGTATGCCCATAGTACACCTGGAACCTCTTCGGGCCATTTTACTTTAGCTGCTTCTAATCTCTTTTTGAGATTTTGTATGATCACTTTGTTCATTGATTCTGCTTGGTCGTTTGCGCTCGGATGATAAGGTTATGATGTGATCCTCTTGATCTTCAAATCTTTGAGGAATTTTTTGATTTTTGCACCATAAATTGTGGCCCATTGTCGCAGGCTATTTCTTTTGGTATCCCAAATCTGCAAATTATGTTCTCCCACAAAAAACTTCCACTTCACGTTCGCCGATCTTTTGATAAGGACCTGCTTCAACCCACTTAGAAAAAATAGTCTGTTAAAATTAAAAGAAATCTTACCTTACCGGGGGCCGGTGGTAGTGGTCCGACGATATCCATTCCCAACTTCATGAATGTCCATGGTGACAGAATTAAGTGTAGTGGCTATGCCGGTTGATGTACCAACGGTGCATAGCGTTAACATTTATCGCATTTTTGAACTTATGCTTTGGCGTCTTGTTCCATCCGGGGCCAATAGTATCCTGCCCTTATTAGTTTTAGTACTAAGAAATTTGCGCCCGAGTGATTCCCGCAGATCCCTTCGTGGACTTCTCGCATAACATAGTTAGCTTCGGAGGCTCCGAAACATTGGGCTAATGGGCCATGGAAAGATTTTCTATACAATTGACCTCATTTGAAACTATATCATGCGGCCTTAGTTCGTAGCGCCCGAGATGCCTTAGGATCCTCAGGTAGTTTTCTGTGTTCGAGATAGTCAATAATTTTGTTTCTCTAGTCCCAGACCAAATTAGTCGTGTTTACCTCATAATAGCTATCTGCGTCCAGTTCCGATTGCATAAGTTGTACGACCGTACCGGAGTCTGATCCTTTAATTTTCGTAGACGAGCCAAGGTTAGCTAATGCATATGCTTCTGCATTTTCTTCCCTCGGGATATGCGTGATTGACCATTCCCGAAACCGAGTGAGCAGAGTTTGAACCTTTGTTACGTATTATTGCATACGTTCCTCCTTGGCTTCTAAGATCCCGTAGACCTGATTTATCACCAACTGGGAGTCATACTTGATTTTTATGACATCGGAGTCCAGTCCTCGACCCAATTTGAGCCATGCAATCAAAGCTTCATACTCCGCTTCATTGTTAGTCAGCGGGACCGTTCTTATGGCCTGCCTTAGGGTTTCTCCCGAAGGTGTGGTTAGTACTATGCCGATCCCGGACCTCTTTATGTTGGAATTTCCATCCGTGTATAGGGTCCAAACTCCTGATGTCGATGGTGACACCATCACTGCTTCTTTGGTTGCCAAAGGTAACAGTCCCAGACTGAAATCGGCCACAAAGTCGGCCAAAGGTTATGACTTAATCGCAGTTCTAGGTTTATATTCTATGTCAAATTCACTTATTTCTACGGCCCACTTGGCTAGCCTACCCAAAAGTTTGGGTTTATGAAGGATATTCCGTAGGGTAAAAGTGGTCACCACAGCTATCGAATGACATTGGAAATACGGCTTTAGTTTTCGAGCGGCGACTACAAGGGCTAAGGCCAATTTTTCCAGATGAGGGTAGCGAATTTCTGCTCCCATTTAAATATTACTAATATAATAGATAGGAGATTGCATACCTTCATCTTCACGGACTAAAACAACACTTACTGCTACCTCCGAGATTGCTAAGTAGACCAACAGTTTTTCGCCCTCTTCCGGTTTCGGTAGTAACAGAGGACTTGACAAATACCTTTTCAAATCCCTCAAAGCATGTTGACATTCCGGGGTCCATTCGAAGTTGTTCTTCTTTTTGAGAAGCGAGAATAAATGATGGGATTTCTCTGAAGACCGGGAAATGAATCTGCTTAAAGCGGACAATCTCCCTGTTAACCTTTGAACCTCTTTTACGCTTGATAGCTGGTTCGGGATGTCTTCGATGGCCTTTATTTTATCAGGGTTAACCTCAATCCACCTTTGTGACACTAGGAATCCCAGGAACTTACCGGAGCGGACCCCGTACACATACTTCTCGAGGTAAAGCTTTATGTTGTGCTTCCTTAAGATGTCAAAAGTTTTTTGCAAGTGTTTGAGATGATCAGTTGCGTTCCAGGACTTAACAAACATATCATCTATGTAAACTTCCATGGTTTTCCCTATTTGCTTTTCAAACATCTTGTTCACGAGCCGTTGATAAGTGGCTCAGACATTTTTTAGCCCAAAGGGCATCACATTGTAACAATATGTGCCGAAATTCATGTTGAACGAAGTTTTTTCCTGATCCTCCAGGTCCATTTTGATTTGGTTGTACTCGGAAGAAGCATCGAAGAAACTCATTAGCTCGTGCCCGGCGGTTTCATCAATCATTTGATGAATGTTTGGTAATGGGAATGAATCTTTTGGGCACGCCTTATTTAAGTCCTTATAGTCTACGCACATGCAAAATTTATTATTCTTCTTTGGAACTACTACTATGTTAGCTGGCCAGTCAGGATACTTTACCTCTCGGATTGAACCGATATCAAGCAGGCGAGTTACCTCTTCTTTGACGAATTTATTTCTAGCCTCGGCAATAGGACTTTTTTTCTGTCTTACCAGAGGAATGCCGGGATCCAGGCTTAGCTTATGTATGGCCACTTCCGGTGGGATACCTATTATATCAGCATATGACCACGCAAAACAATCGACATTAAATTTAAGAAATTCAATAAATCCAGACCTGAGTTCGGGGTGCAGTTCTGTTCCCAAGTGGAATCCAGACCTGCTCAAGTTCTTCCGTTGTGGACTTTGTTGCGTCCGTCTCTTCTAGTACCTGGAAATACCTTGGCATCTGATAAGATTCTGACACCCCTTCCTCTTGGTTAACTTCGCTTGGCTAGGGAACAGGCGCTGGCTCCTGTAATTGCTATGCCGCATGCTCCTTCCCTTTGCTACTGGAGACTGAGATTGCATTTATCTCCCTTGATGCCGGTTGGTCGCCTCTTATTTGTTTAACTCCCTCGAGAGTTGAAATTTTAGCAATTGATGACATGTTGATGGCACAACCTTCATTTCGTGCAACCATAGTCTCCCCAGGGTAATATTGTAATCCATATCGCCATCCACTACCTCGAAAAGGGTTGTCTTCATCACCCACTCGGCATTCGTGGGCAGCAAGATCTCTCCCCGGGTTGTCACGCTTGCCATATTGAACCCGGCGAGGAGTTTTGTGGCCATAATGAAACTTTTGGTGAGCTTGGCTTGCTCCAACACTCTCCATTGGATAATATTGGCCGAACTTTCTGGATCTACCAGAACACATCTAATTCAAAATCTAAGACATTTAGAGAGATTACCAGGGCATCGTTATGTGGTAGTAGCAGTCCATCCGCGTCTTCCTCTGTAAAAGTAATGTCATCTGCAATGACTTCCCGGAGTCTTTTGTTGTGGGTCACTAATACCTTCGTGTTTTTTGCCACCGAAAATGTAACCCCGTTAATCTCGTTCCCCCCAAAAATCACGTTGATCATCAGGCGAAGGGGATTTTCTCCTGCTTTTGAAGGCTCTGCATTATCACGCTTGCGACCGTAGTTGTTTTTAGCCCGGTCGCTTATATATTCACTGAGATGACCATTTTTCAGCAATGTCGACACCTCTTCGCACAAATGGCCACAGCCCCCGGTCAGGTGAATGTTTGTCTCATGGTATTCGCACCACAAATTAGGATCCCTCTGGCCGGGATCAGATCTCATTGTCTTCAGGAACCATGCTCCTTTGATGTTTCTCATGGACGATACCAGATCCACTACGCTGACGTTGAAGTTGTATTCAGAAAGTCTGGGGTAGGAAGAATCTGACGTTTTGTTTTTCTGCAACGACCTGTGGTTTCGGCCACGATTGATTCTCCTATCGATAGCAAATCTATCCGTTGACCGGAAACCTCTACCATGTCCTTCGGCCCGTTCATAGGGCAAAAACCGTCTCCTCGAAGACCATCCATCTGTATTGAAATTGTATTTCGATTTCTCTTTATTATTCTCCCATTCCCGACCCTTAACCGACGACGGAAAATCGAGATAATCATCTTCAATCCTTATTTTTGACTCGTACCGATTGTAAACATCCGCCCAAGTTGTTTCCTGGAACTCGAGAAAACTTTCTTTCAACTTCTGAAAAGCATCAGAACTTCTCGGATTCAGACCTTTTTGGTGAATGCTTCAGCCGCCCATTCGTCCGGAATGGCCAGTAGCAACATCCTTTCCTTCTGGAACCTGGTTACAAACTCCCGCAGCAACTCGGACTCTCCTTGCACAATCCTGAATATATCGGCCTTTCGGGCCTGTACTTTTCTGGCCCCGGCATGGGCCTTGATGAAAGAATCCACGAGCATTTCAAAAGTGTCTATGGAATGCTCGGGAAAAAGCAAATACCACGTCAAGGCCCCCTTCGTAAGAGTCTCCCTAAATTTCCTCAGAAAAACAGACTCAATCTCGTGGGGAGCTAAATCGTCTCCCTTCACCGCCATTGTATAGGTGGTAATATACTCCTAGGGATCTGAAGTTCCATCATACTTCGGCATGTCAGTCATTTCAAACTGCTTCGGGATCAGTTCTGGTGCCGCGCTTGGCTTGTACGATAATTGTGTGTACTTCTTTGAGTCTGGCCCTTTCAGCACCGGTGGTGCACCCAAAATTTAATTCGTTCGAGCGTTTACTTCCCTCATAAATTGCATGAGTTCGATTTTAAAGGGATCACTCTTGTTGTTGTGACCAGATTTGTTCCCTCTGGCCCCATCGGAGTCGACCTCACCCCTCAGGGTGTTGTTGTCGACCCTCTGCGTCGTTTGGTTCGTGGGAGAACCGGGAAGAACTGGGCCTCGCCCATTCGCATTGTTGGAAGCACCTGACAATGCGTGCTTCAGTTCTGTTATGAACTTATCCAGTCGTGTGAGATGGCCTATAATGGCCTCCTGATGCTCTTGCAAGACCCTAACTGCTTCGACGACGTGCTCTTCTTCAGCATCATCAGGAGTTGCATCCCGAAATGTCGCGAATATCTGCCGCCGTGGACCGGCGTGGCCTCGTTCCCCTCATTGCGGGTATCACTGACTGAATCCTCGTGTAGAGGCTAATTTCCTCATGCCTCAACGTTGTATGTGTGTTAACACCATTATCTACCATTTTTAATGATTTTTGCTAAGAACAAAGAGTCAAACAAATTAGTAACAGATGCAGGGATCAATTCAATTACATGACTGTCTATGCCCCACGGTGGGCGCCAAACTGTTTACCCGTAAAATGGTACAATTAAATTTATACACGATTTAAAGACAAGTGAATTAATTTGATCAAACAATAATAGAGGAATTAGACAGAAATATAAGATTTAGCCTTAAAATTGATATAGATGACATATATCTTGGTTCTGGGCGCAGAGCTACCGCGAGCAATAAGAACAATACAAATAAGCAAGAAAGTAAAATGTTATTGAGCTTTTGATAGAATATAGTGTATGCTTGTCAGTAAATTCGTCATCTTACAATAATAATAGAACCCATTATTTATAGTTGCACCTAGGGAACAAGGTCCTAGGGTCAAGCTCCTCTTTTAATGACAATTATATTGAAGGATGTGTAACGGTGGGCAGTGAATGTCATATTCACTATAACGGATCATGCATTTAATACTATAGAATATTCCTTATTGAATGCTACCGGATGGCGGCATTAAATTTGTCGTTATGAGTATCATTCTCTCCGATGACAAGCGAGATTAATGCATTCGGGTTTAGCTATCTTCTGCCTTCGATTCCACGTGTCACATTCTAATGCGATCATTAAATATGAACATATTTTATCCCATACAGTTGGTCCCTTCGTATGAAGAAACAAATTAAAGTTAGCATATTTAACTAATGAAAGTACTATAAGTTAGTACATTATTTTATTTGAATTATATTTTGTAATTTTTTAACTCACAAGACTTTGTTTCAGTGATGAAGACACAACGTGGGATGTATTGATGGGGGCGAAGTTGAGAAAATGACCCTCTATAGCCTCTCAAAATTTTAATAGCCCATATTTTTTCTCATTGATACGAAATAGCCCTCCGACCCAAACATATTACATCTAATAGCCCAAAATTATCTATTTTGTATATTTTTTGTATAGTGACAGTCTATTTTGTATATTTTATGTATAGTGACAGTCTATTTTATATATTTTATGTATAGTGATAGTCTATTTTGTATAGTTTTTGTATAGCGACGACAGTCTATTTTTTTTTTATAGTGACAGTCTATTTAGTATATATTTTGTATAGTGACAATCTATTTTGTATCTATTTTGTATAGTGACAGTCTATTGTATATAAATTATATAGTGGTAGTCTATTTAGTATATTTTTATATAATGACAGTCTATTTCGTATATATTTTGTATAGTGACAGTCTATTTAGTATATTTTTGTATAATGACAGTCTATTTTTGTATATATTTTGTATAGTGACAGTCTGTTATATATAAATTGTATAGTGACAGTCTATTTTGTATAATTTTTGTATAGTGACAGTCTATTTTGTATATATTTTGTAATATACCAATATTCAAAAGAAATTCTCTTCAGTCTAATACATAATCTAAAATGACTTTTAAATATTAGCCTCATATACAATTGTTTATGAAAAAATTGATCCAAAAAAGAGATTGATAAAATATTCATGTTTGATATGCACGAGTTGCAATAAAGGATAGGGAGAGTAATTGATACTTGGGGGCCAAATGGGAGCCAACTCTCTGAAACAGATTACACAGAGGAAATGGCAATGATCAGAAAAGACATTGTTGAGTTTCATGGTGAAATGGAAGGTTTCAAGAATTGAATACAAGATTTGTCAAATCTCAGCCGCCGTTGTAGTATTAATATTAATGGTGCCCACGTTCCAGCTTCGACCTCACCACAAATCATGAAATCAAAATCAAAACCCAGTCAGTCTAACCCACTGTGCTCGATCTCGTTGGCTTTAGATCTAGACAAAAACTCAAACACCGGCGACCCTCCATTAAATTTGGCAACTCTTTCTTCTTGTTTTATTTATTATTTTTGGGGCTTTTGATATTATGAAAATCTAGATCTAAAAGATGGTTTGCTTGCTACTTGAATTTCGGCAGATCTGGCCGGTATATAGCTTTTTCGGCGACCGTGAATTTTTTGGCCACTGATGCGACCGGTGAAATTTTCCGGCTAAACCATTTCGGGCCGAAAATTATTTCTCTAGTGAATCGGTGTTTGTGCTCGCGGGTCATATCTATAATTCGGCGGTTAACCACTAGAATTACTTTTAGGTTATAAAATGTATATTATAATTTTGGGCTATCGGGTATTATAAATTTGGCCCGAATGGCTATAAATGAGTTCACCTAATTAAGTAAGAGTCCAAGATAGGGACCAGGCCCATACTACTCGATTGCGCCAACTCACAAGAGACCTCCAGTTATCCAAAAAACTTATTTTAAAAATATATGAAATATTCTAGTGAGAAAAAGTTAATTTGTGACAGTGTTAGAGGTAAATCCAGAATTTAATTGGGTAACAGACAAATTATTAGACTTGTACGGGGAGAGACCACAAAACATGCCATCATTTAAAGATTCGTGAATTTGAGTTGTTTGTTACACTTGTTATCTTTATCTTGTGTAAAAAAAAATAGTCGATCAATATATACTATACACCGAATTTGGATTAATATAAATATATATTGAAACCGATATCAACCATATATCTATATGTATAAAGCTCAAGTCCCCTCATATGAGCTGCTTTCTGTTTATATGCCTTGAAACATTGCTGCATTATTTTCATGAACAAGATAAGTCTATATGCTGGAAATGATAGGGTTTTGATTCAGTGAGAATTATATGCCTTCCTGAAAAAAGGTCCTATAGATTCTGATAATTAATACAATTGTTTTCAATGTTATCTTTTATGTTTACATTTGTGTGTTCCCCTCCCCATTTTACCCTTGCCATACCATTTTGTTTTTCTTTTTGGCACATTTGTCCAACAGTCCAAAGAACTGTTCAAATTTCACTAGATTAATTAAAAAATTATTTCTTCCTGTTAGTGAAAATACAATTAATTACAATTGTAAAATAAGATAAAGAAAAATTAATAAATATTTTATCATGCTCTTTTCAAGGAGATTCAAGCCCACTGTGGTAGCATCTTTACCGATCCAGCAGTAATACTCTTGACTTGTCCCTTTCAGGATACGACAGCCCGACAATGTCGTATGACTCGAACAAACTCTGGACAAGTTGTTAAGTCCAAAACTTCACCAAAATAAACACCTTCCTTCAACAAAATAATATTCTCTTTTGTAGAGAATAAGTTGGAGACTTAGATTTGTTTTCTTTTTCTCTACTATCTTTTCCACTGTGGATGTGTTTGGTATGAAGAAAAATATTTTCCATGGAAAATCATGTAAAATGAGTTTTATCACTTATTTTTCCTTGTTTGGTTGGTGAATCGGTAAACTTTTTTCGGAAAATATTTTTTAGTGTTTGGTTAGAGAGTATAAAATATTTTTAGAAAAATAATTTTTTATGCCACTCTCCTCAACCCACCTTCCCCAAAATACTCATGTTTCCTGTACTCCTTCCCCCCTCCCCCCTCCGTGATTCTATTTTCTTCAAGAATTTAATTATTTTTTTAAAATTCACACAAACCCAAAGGAACTAATGTGCTACTTTATTATTTCTATCACGATCCTAATTTCCCTCCGTAGGATGTCGTGATGGCACGTAATCTCTAAGACTGGGTAAGCCTAACAAAACATGCAGACTATAACTGAAATGACAAATAACTCTCAAATACTCAACAATTTAATATAAAGAAACTCTGCAACTCAGTATATACAGTTTCCCAAAACCCGGTGAATACATGTCTCAAGATCTAAATAGTAGTACTGAATAATCCTATACATAAAAGTTTATAAAAGGATAAGAAAAATAGAATAGTCTAGGTAGAAGGGGACTCCGAGACCTGCGGACGTCCGCAGGTATACCTACACGGAACTAAAGCAAATAATGCAACACGGAGAAAACAAAGAATGATAAGCTAAGGAAACCAAAACAACCAAAGACAAGTGCGGCAATGGAGAAATACCAACAAGATTCACTACCGAGGTACCGCCTCGTAATCTCAAATTACAAGAATAATTCACAATCTTTCCTTATATCTCTGCGGGAGCCTTGCATTTAGTTTTGAAAATTATTTTTCAGAAATAGCATCTCGCGTTTTAGCATATCTTATCACACCGCGTGGCTTCTAGTAGTTCTCCTACTATCAATGCGTATCAAGCCCATCTTATCTCACCGCATGCGTTTCAACCCCAAAACCTTATACCACTGCATGCGTATTAATATCACAACGTATCACAAATCTCAACTCAAGTGCCCAATATCACAACTTGTCAAAGAACCGTCAATAACAATATTTTCACAATAAAGAGTCCATGGCTCAACCA